ATATATAAGTGGACCAATAAATAAATAAATACACTTAAAATGCACCAATTAATTTTTAAAAGGAGAACTTTACTTTGTGTTTTATAATTTATTTGACCTTCGTATTCATTTTTCTAGTTTAGTTCCAATATATATTAGCACATAATTAAAATTTTACTGTATTTAAAAATACAGATTTTTTTCCATTTTTCATTTTACTTGTGCATGCATCTCTTAAATGCTTATATTATAACTTTTGCCACAAGTCTTTATATTTATGTGTTTTTACATTTCGCTGTCTCCTGTTTTTACTTTATGCATTTCTGCCTCATTAAGCAAATAACGTGGGCGGAGCTTCTTGGGTCAGCTCCACTAGGATCCATGTGAAGATTTACTGTGCTGCTTGTTCTGCCTCAGTTTAGATTAAAGTTTAATGAAAGACAAAGGCAAGAAGGAAAACATTGTCTCTTAAACAAAGTGCCTTTGTTTAAGAGACAACAGATGCATGTACAAGTAAAAGGAAACACAAAAAGTATATATTTTTCATAACAGTAAAGTGTAAATTATGTGCTAATATATGTAATTTATTGGAAGCTGGAAAAATAAATGTGAAGGTAAATTAAATTCTAAAACATGAGGTAAAGTTCTCCTTTTTTTAATTTAACTGATGTATTTTAAGAGTATTTATTCATTTATTTATTGGTCCAATTTCTATGTTTCTGCTTTTATTTCTAATTCTGACAGTTTCAGTCCTCCATACTTTTGATGCTCAGTGTCCTTAAATCTGTTTTTCCAAATATTTCCTATTGTGCTCAACTCCCCGAAATGACTGTTTTTTCACAATGAAAGTCTTCAGATGAATGCAGCAGTGAGAACATTTCACAAAGGAAAAACCTTCAAACTGCAGGAGTGTCCTGTTTGTTCTGTTGTTCTGTCCGCTGCAGGTTAATGTTTACTCAAACTGTGCTTCACAAATACGTTATTAAGATCATCTMCAGCTGATGACCTCATCAACCTCTTTRATTACATTTTAGTCYCAAAAACTTGTTTTTATTTTAATAWTCATGCTGAAAACTCGCTCTCTCTTTAAGAGAAAATACAAAGAGGAAACAAAGGCAAATCTACTTTTTATCTTTTTCTAAAACAAAATAATCCAAAGGTCTTTAATCAACCCTCTGACCTGCTGCTGAGAGCTCGCAGCTCCTCTGTTGTTCCTGAAACCTCTCCAGGCTGTAAATGAAAACAGGCTCCACAAAGTTCCTCCTCTTTAACAGCACTCCACCAACCTGCGGCTGTTTTTATTTATTTACTTCAATGTTTTATTAAGGTTTGTGTGTCCTACCCCTCAGTGGAGATATTTGCCTCTTTTGTGCTCTCACCAATCCAGTCTGCGATGCACGATGTTCCTTTTAAATCGAAAAGAAACAATTAAAACCTGTACAGAACAACGCAGAGGGGATAAAACGGATAAAAATAACTGATTGAAAGAAAAGGCCTTTGCTTTATTTAAAATCTTTTCTCATTTCTTTATTCCACAAGAGGAAAAATGATGAGATGAATTTCAAGTTGTTGGTTGAAAACAGTCATAATTACAGCTTGTGTGAAACGAGTGACACATTTAGGCTTTTTCTGCAGCTGCTTTTCTGAACAACACTTTAAAAAACAGTGTTTATTTTTACCAGCAGAGTCTTTCGTAACCTGTCTCTATGATTTTAAGGACATTTGTTGTTCAGGTAGAAAATAAGTCCACTGAAATATATTTAAATAACCGAATAAATGATTTTTAATCAGTTTAATTTGTAGATTTCTCCAATGAAATGAAGTGTTTGGATCTATTGGGAGTTTCTCTGAGCTTCTCGCTGCTGCTGATGGTTTATAACTTAATTATTCAGTGAGTCAGCAACAGACACAAACACACACACACACACACACACACACACACACACACGTTTGCACAGCTATCCATATGGGGACGTGCCATTGACTCCCATCACATTTTTATCCCTGACCACAAAACCCTAAGGCTAACCTCACAGGTACCTACCTGACCCTAAAACTAACCTAGACTCAATTCACACCTTGGTCCTAAACCCAACCCAACCCCCAACCCACCAATGGCATTTAAACCAAATGGGGACTCCACTTTTGTCCCCAAATGCACCAGTTGTCCCCAAAGGTAGGTATTTTGTCTTGAAATTGCCCTTAAATGTCACCAGAAACAAACCCACCCAACCACACACACACGTTTGTTCTTGAACCCCGTGGGGACCTTCCATTGACTTCCATTCATTCTTTTTAGAATTTAAAGCCTAACTCTGATCATATCCCCTTAAATTAACCTCACAGGTACTTACCTAACCCTAAAACTAACCTAAACCTTGGTCCTAAACCCCTCACCCGTAATTTGCATTTGGACCAGGTCCCCATGATTCACTTCAGTCCCCCTCGAGGCTGCTTTTTTTGAGAGAATTGTCTCCACATTGTAGGAAAAACCCGTCCACATACATACATACATACATACATACATACATGTCTCTCTATCCTTGTAAGAACTTTACATTGACTTCCATTCATTTTTTTAACTGTAATTATGACTAACCCAGACATTTTCCTGAAAATTAACCATTACTGGTCTATAGTTAACTCTAACCTGAACCAGAACTTAATCCACACCAAACCTCTAAACCTAACTAAAGCACAGCAGAGCTGCTAAGTGAGGACATTGAAGAGGTCCTCACT